AATGGGGAATGGGGGGAGAGGGTAAGTGCAAATGGGGTTAGGGGATGATAAATGCAAGTGGGATGGGGAGGATGGTAAACAAGTGGATGGGGAGGATGGTAAATGCAAGGGGATGGAGGAGGTAAGTGCAGTGGTATGGGAGGATGGTAATGCAATGGGATGGGGAATGGGAATGCAATGGGATAGGGAGGGGTGGGAATGCCATGGGGTGGAGAGGATGAAAGTGCCAGGGGATGGAGAGGATGGTAAGTGCCCGTGGGGTGGAGGGATGAAGGCCAGGGGATGGAGAGGGGGGTAAGTGCCAGTGGGAGGAGAGGGTGGGAAGTGCCAGTGGATGGGAGGATGGAAATGCCCCGTGGGGTGAGGGGGTGGTAAATGCTAGTGGGATGGGGGGGATGGCAAGAGCCAAAGGGGTGGGGAGGATGGAAAAAAAGCAAGAGGATGGGGGGGATGGGGTGCCCGTGGGATGGGGAAAGGGTGGTAATGCCAGTGGGGTGGGAGGATTGGGAAGTTTCAGAGGGATGGAGAGGATGGTAAGTCCCGGGGTGAGAGGATGGAAAAAGCCAGTGGGGGGGAGAGGATGTTTAAATGCCAGTGGGAAGGGAGGAAGGGAAGTCCCGGGGATGGGGAGATGGGAAATGCAAGTGGGATGGGGGGGATGAAAAAAACAATGGTGGTGGATGGAAATGCAAGGGTGGGGGGATGATAAATCAAGTGGGTGGGGGGGGATGGTAATGCCAGTGGGATGGAGAGGAGGTAATGGATGGGGGTGGAGAGGATGGGAAGTCCAGTGGGAGGATACGATGGGGGAGTCCATGGGGGGGAAGGAGGTGGGCCTGGGGTGGGGGGGGTGGAAATGCAAATGGGAAAAGAGGGTGGCAAAAAGCAAGTGGGGTGTGTAAAAGGTAAATGCAAGTGGGGTTGGGGGGGGATGATAAATGCAAGGGGATGGGAGGATTGTAAGTGCCAGTGGGGGGGAAGGAGTTTGGGGCCCGGGATTGGGAGAATGGTAGTGCAAGTGGGGGGGGAGGATTGGGGAATGCAAGTGGGGTGGGGGGGGGGTAAGGCAAGGGGATGGGGGAGGAATGGTAAGGGGAGTGGGTGGGGGGAGTAAGGCAAGTGGATGGGGGGGTGGAAGTGCAAAAGGTGGGGGGGAGGGGAGGCAAGTGGGATGGGGAGGGTGGTAAATGCAAGGGGGATGGGGAGGATGTAATGCAGGGGATTGGGGGGGGGTAAGTGCAAATGGGGTGGGAGGGTGTAATGCCAGTGGATGGGGAGGAAGGTAAGGCAAGGGGGATGGGGGGATGGTAAGGAGGGGTTTTGGAGGATGGTAAGGCAAGTGGATGGGGGAAAGGTAAATGCAAAGGGGGTGGGGGATGAAGTCAAGTGGGATGGGGAAGGAATGCAAGGGGTTGGGGAGGATGATAAATCAATGGTGGAGGATGGTAAGGGAGTGGGGTGGGAGGATGGTAATGCCTTTGGGGTGGAGGGATGGGAAGTGCAAGTGGGGGGGGAGGATGGGAAATGCAAGTGGGGGGGGTGAGGCAAAGAAGTGGGATGGGAGGAAATTGGTAAGTGCCCCGTGGGAGGGGAGGGTGGTAAGGCAAATGGGGGGGGGGATGGTAATGGCATTGGGTGGGGGAAATGGTAAGTGCCAATGGGGTGGGAGGATGGTAAATCAAGTGGGGGGGGGGATGGAAAACATGTGGGATGGGAGGGGTGGTAATGCCAGTGGGTGGGAGATGGAATGCAAGTGGATGGGGGGGATGGTAAGTCAGGGTATGGGGAGGGTTAAGTGGGAATGGGTTTGGGAGATTGTAAGTGCAAGTGGGATGGGAGGTGGTAAATGCCGTGGGAATGGGAGGATGGGAAGTGCAAGGGGATGGGGGGGATGGTAAGTCATGTTGATGGGGGGAGGGAAGTGCAAATGGGGTGGGGGGATGTAAATGCGTGAGGGGGGGAGGTAAAGCAATGGGGTGGGGGGATGGGAATTCAAATGGGGGGGAGGATGGTAATGCAAGTGGGATTTGGGGGGGTGTAAGTGCAAATGGGGTGGGAGGATGGTAAATGAAAAGGGTGGGAGGATGTAAATGCAAGTGTACGGGGGATGGGAAGCAGGGAATGGGGAGGGGAAGTCAAATGGGTGGGGAGGAGGTAATGCAAATGGGATAGGGGGGAGATAAAGAAAGGGGGTGGGGAGGATGGAAAGCAAGGGTGGGGAGGAGGTCAAATGGGATGGGGAAATGAAGTGCAAATGGTTGGGAGGATGGTAATTTCAAGGGATGGGGGGGGGATGGAAGGGCAAGGGATGGGGAGGATGTAATGCCTTTTGGGTGGAGAGGATGTAAGTGCCGGGGGAGGGGAGGAGGGAAGTGGCCAGTGGGATGGGAGGATGGGAATGCCCCGTGGGTGGGAGGATGGAAGGCCAGTGGGATGGAAAGGTTGGGGAAATCCGGGTTGGGGGGGATGGTAATTTCCCAATGGGGTGGGGGATGGTAATGCAGTGGGATGGGAGGATGAAAGGGGGAATGGGGTGGGAGGGTGGAAAGGGAAATGGGATGGAGGTGGAGGGGCGGGGGGATGGGGAGGATGGTAAATGCCAGTGGGTGGAGAGGATGGAAAAGGCAGTGGGATGGGAAGGGTGGAAGGCCCTTGGGGGGAAATGGAAATCAAGTGGGTGGGGGGGAGAAAAGCAGTGGGATGGGGGAGGATGGAAAAATGCAGTGGGAGGAGAGGATGTAAGGAAGGGGGTGGGGGGTGGAAGTGGTTTGGAGGGAGGATGGTAATGCCATGGGGTGGGAGGAAGGTAAGTCCAGTGGGGTGGGGAGGATGGGAAAAACAAGTGGGATGGGGGGAAGTGGGGAAAGGGAAGTGGGAAAGGGGGATGGTAAAATGCAAGTGGGTGGGGAGGAGTAAATGCAAGTGGAGGGGAGGATGGTAATGCCAGTGGGTGGGGGATGGTAAGGGGAAAGGGATGGAAGGAAAGGTTTAAATGAGGGGGTGGAAGAGGGGAGTGCCAGTGGGATGGGGGGATGGTAATGCAAGTGGAAAGGAGAAAAAGGGTGGAAGGGAGCAAGTGGGATGGGGGGGATGGTAAGTGCCCGTGGGGGGAGGATGGTAAGTGCCTTTGGGGTTTGGGGGAGGAAGTGCAAGGGGTGGGGAGGATGGTAAATGCAATGGGATTGGGAGGATGGTAAGGGAATTTGGGGTTGGGGGGATGGTAAGTGCGTGGGTGGGGAGGATGGTAAGGGGGCAAGTGGGAGGGGGGGAGGTAATCGTGGGGTGGGGGGGGAAGGCAAATGGGATGGGGTGGATGGGAAATCAAGTGGGGTTGGGAGGATAAAATGCAAGGGGGGTGGGAGGATGGTAATGCCCCGTGGGATTTTAAAGGTTTGGGAAGTGCCCGGGGAGGGAGGGGTAAGTCAAGGGGAAAGGGAGGATGGTAATGCAAGTGGATGGGGGGAAGGGGCCATGGATGGGGAGGATGGAATGCAAGGGGTGGGGAGAAAAGGGAAGGAAGGGGGGTGGGTAGGATGGAAATAAAGGGTTTGGGGGGGATGATAAATGCAAGTGGGATGGGGGGGATTGGCCCGTGGGGGGGAGGAAAGGGAAGTGATGGAAGGGAAAGGGTGGTAGTGCCGGGGTGGGGGGGATGGTAAGTCCCGTGGGATGGGAGGTGGTAATGCTGGGGGTGGGAGGATGGTAAATGCAAGTGGGATGTGGGATGGAAAGGAAAATGGGTGGAGATGGTAAATGCAGTGGGTTGGGGAGGAGTTTTGCCAGGGGATGGGGAGGATGGGAAAAATGCCAGGGGGGTGGGAGGATGGTAAAGGGAAGTGGATGGGAGGATGGGAAGTGCAATGGATTTGGGGGGATGGTAATGCAAATGGGAATGGGAGGTTAAGCAAATGGATTGGGAGGATGGTAAAATGCCAAATGGGATGGGGGGGATGGTAAATGCAAATGGATGGGGGGGAGTAAAATGCAGTGGAAAGGGGGGAAGGGGAAGGCAAGTGGGATGGGGGGGATGGTAAATGCAAGTGGGGGGGGGGGAGGAGTAAAGGCAAATTGGGTGGGGAGGATGGTAAAAGGGCCCGTGGGGTGGGAAAGGGTGGTAAGTGCCCGTGGGATGGGAATGGTAATGCAAGTGGATGGGGGGGGAAGGAAAAAGCAAGTGGGTTGGGAGGGTGGAAAAACAAGTGATGGAGATGGAAAGGCCCTATGGGGGAGGAGGAAGTGCAAATGGGGTGGGAGGTGGTAAAAGGCAAGTGGGATGGGGAGGAAGTAAATGCAAGGGGATGGGGGGGGGAAGGCAATGGGATGGGGAGGGTAAGTGCCATGGAGCAAATTAAATGCAAGTGGGTGGGGGGGGATGTAAGTGCAAATGGTATGGGGAATGGGGTGCAAGTGGGTTTGAGGGGGAAGTGAAGTGGGAATGGGGGGGATGTAAAGGGAGGGGATGGGGGGTGAAATGCAAGTGGGATGGGGGGGAGGGAAAGGGAGTGGGATGGAAGAAGGGCAAGTGCAAGTGGAAAGGGAGGGTGGTAATTTTCAAGTGGGGTGGGGAAAGGGGAATGCAAGGGGGGGAGGAATTTAATCTTTTTGGGTGGGGAGGATTAATGCCAGTGGATGGGAGGAGTAAATGCAAATGGGATGGGAGGGGGTTTAAATGCAAATGGGGGTAGGGGGTAAATGCAAATGGGATGGGGGGATGGTAAATGCAAATGGATGGGAGGTGGTAAACAATGGATGGGGAGGAGGTAAATGCAATGGGATGGAGGTAAGGCCCAAGGGAGGGGAGGATGGTAAGGCAAATGGGGGGGGGAGGGTGTAAGTGCCAAGGAGGGGAGGGTGTAAATGCCAGTGGGGTGGGGAGGATGGTAAGTCCAGTGGGGTGGAAGGATTGTAAGGGCCCTGGGGGTGGGAAAGGGTGGTAAGGGGTGGGATGAGGAGGAAGGCAGGGAGGGGAGGATGGAAGTGCCGTGGGATGGGGGGATGGAAAATGCAGTGGGATGGGAGGGTGGAAAAAACCAATGGGAGGGGAAAGGATGGAAGAGCAAGGGAGGGGGGATGGAGGCCCGTGGGATGGAAGGTGGGGAAATGCCCTGGTTGGGAGGATGGAAAAGTGGGGAGGGGGAGAGGAGGTAATGCCCTTTTTAGGAGGATGGTAAATGCCAGTGGGGTGGAGAGGATGTGTGCCAGTGGATGGAAGGAAGGGAAGTGGCAGTGGGATGGGGAGATGGTAAATGCAATGGGGATGGGGAGGATGGCAAGGGCAAGTGGGAGTTTAAAATGGAAATGCAATGGTTTTGGGGGAGTAAATGCAAGGGGATGGGAGGGTGGTAATGCCCGTGGGATGGGAGGATGGGAAGGCGTGGGATGGAGGATGGTAATGCCCCGTGGGGTGGAAAGAGGTGAGGCCTGGGATGGAGAATGGGGATCCATTGGGGGGGAGGATGGGAAAAGCAAGGGGGATGGAGGGATGGAAGGCGTGGATGGTGAAGGTAAATCAAAGGGGTTTTGGGGGGGATGTAAATGCAAGTGGGAGGGGGATGGAAGTGCCAGTGGGATGGGAGGATGTAAGTGCAGTGGGATGGGGGGATGGTAAGTGCAAGTGGAGGGGGGATGGTAAATGCAAGTGGGATGGGGGAGGTAAGTGCAATGGGGTGGGAGAGGTAAGTGCAATGGGGGGGGAGGAGGGGGAATCAAAGTGGTGGGGGGTGGAAAGCAGTGGATGGGGAGAAGGTAAGTGCAAATGGGGTGGGGGGATGTAAAAAAACAAATGGGTTTGGGGGGGATGTAAATCAAGTGGATGGGGAAAATGGGGAAGTGCAGTGGGATGGGAGGATGGTAAGTGCCCGTGGGGGTGGGGGAGGGTAAGTGCAGTGGTTGGGGAGGAAGGTAAATGCAAGGGATGGGAGGGTGGAAAAGGGAATGGGATGGGGAGGAGGTAAATGCAAGTTTATGGGGAGGATGGTAAGTGCAATGGGGATTTGGGAGAAGGAAGTGCAAGTGGGGGGGAGGATGTAATGCAAATGGGAGGGGAGATGGAAGGCAAGTGGGTGGGGAGGGTGGAATGCTGGGGGATGGAGAGGTGAAAATGCAAGGGGAGGGGGGGGAGGTAATGCAAGGGGTGGGGGGATGGCAAAGAGAAAATTTGGGGATGGGAGGATGGTAAATCAATGGGTTTGGGGGGATGTAAAAACAAGTGGGTGGAAGGGGGGTAAGTGCCATGGGATGAGAGGAAGGTAATGCCAGTGGGATGGGAGGGGTAAATAAAAGGGAGGGGGGGATGGAAAAAAAAAGTGGGTGGGGGGTGGAAGGCAAGTGGAAAAGGGAGGAGGTAAGGGAAGTGGGTGGGGAGGGTGTTTAAAAACGGGATGGGGGGGATGGTAAGTGCCCGTGGGATGGGGAGGTGAAATGCCCGGGGGATGGAGAGGATGGGGAAGGCCCGTGGGAGGAGAGGTAAGGGCCCTGGATGGAGGGAGGTAAGTGCATGGGATGGGGGGGTGGTAATGCCAGTGGATGGGGAGGATGGAAAAGGGCCTGGGATGGAGGATGGTAATGCAGGGGTGGGGAGGATGGAAAGCCAATGGGGTGGGGAATGGAAACAAAAGGGGGTGGGGGATGGGAGGGGGCCAGTGGGATGGAGAGGATGGAAGTGCCAGGGGATGGGGAAGGGTGTAAGTTTCAGGGGATGGGAGGATGGAAATCCAGTTGGATGGGAGGATGGTAAATGCCAGTGGGGGGGGGATGGAAAATGCCATGGGAGGAGAGGGGGTAAGTCCAATGGGATGGGAGGGTGGTAATGCAAAAGGGATGGGGGGTGGAAGGCAAATGGGGTGGGTGGGTTAAATGCCAGTGGGTTTGGGGGGGATTAAATGCAAGTGGGATGGGGAGATTTAAATGCCAGGGGGGGGAGGAGGGAAGTGGTTGGGGGGAAGGGGGTAAGTGCCCGTGGGGATAATGGGGGAGTGCCCTGGGGGAGAAGGATGGAGGCCCTGGGATGGGGGGGATGGTAAATGCAAATGGGATGGAAGGAAAAGGAAAGGCAAAGGGGGTGGAGAATGTAAATGCAAGTGGTTGGGAGGATGAAAAAGCAATGGAGGGAGGATTGTAAATGCCAGTGGGATGGGGGTGGGAAACCCGTGGGGTTGGGGAATGGTAATTAATGGAGGGGAGGATGTAAGGCAAGTGGGTTGGGGAAGGAAGGCAAGTGGGATGGGGGGATGGGAAGTGCAAGTGGATGGGGGGGAGGGTAAATGCAAGTGGGGTGGGGGGGAGTAATGCAAGGGGATGGAGAGGGTGGTAAGTGAGGGATGGGGGGGGATGGAAGTGCAAGTGGTTTGGGGGGAGGTAAGTGCAAGGGGATTTGGGGGGATGGTAATGCAAAGGGGGTGGGAGGGTGGTAATGCAAGGGGATGGGGAGGGTGGAAAATGCAGTGGGTTGGGGGGAAGGAAGTGAATGGGTGGGGGGATGTAAATGCAAATGGGATGGGGGGGATGAAGTGCCAGTGGGATGGAAGGAGGAATGCCCCGTGGGTGGGGAATGGAAAAGGGAAATGGAGGGGAGGAAAGGAAGTGCGTGGGATGGGAGGAGGAAGTAAGTGGGATCAGGATGGAAAGGATGGGGGAGGGATGGTAAAATGCAATTTGAGGGAGGGGTAAGTGCAAATGGTGGGGAGGGTGGAATGAAGGGAGGGGGGGGGTGAAGGCAAATGGGGTGGGGGGGATGGAAGGCCAGTGGGATGGGAGATGGTAATCAGTGGGATGGGGAGGAGGGGAATGCCCGGGATGGAGAGTGGAAATGCCCGTGGAGGGGGGATGGTAAGTGCCAATGGAAGGAAAGGATGGAAAATGCTATGGGTGGGAGGAAAGAAACCAAAGGGATGGGGGGAGGAAGGCAAATGGGATGGGGAGGTGGAGGTGCCGTGGGTTGAGAGGATGGGAAATGCCCTGGGATGGGGAAAGGGTGGTAAGTGCCCGTGGGGGAAGATGGTAATGCCAGTTTTGGGTGGGAGAGGATGGTAAAGCAAATGGGAAGGAAGGATGGCAAAGGCAGGGGGATGGGGAGATGGAAAAGGGCCCGGGGGATGGAGAGGGTGGTAATGCCGGGGATGGAGAGGATGGTAAGTGCCGGGGGGTG